ACATCAATTCCTTTCATGAAGTTGGGGATAGTCAAAGTAGAGGCGCTGAGGAACAGCTGTCGCTGTTGGCCAACGAAATTGTCCATGGTGAGACAGGCCATAGTGTTCAGAGACCACAAACGCCATCGCTACGGTAGAGTCGATCAGTGGATTCATCACCCAAAATTTGTGGGAGCTTTTCTGAAGGCGAAAATCGAGTAATAGTTCTCTTAAATAAAGGATAATTTTGCAGATTTTTCACATTCATGAGTAGTTTATTCCAAATAGCAATTGCATTTACAGAAGAGAACCGACGATATTTAACAGTGCGTGTCACAGGAAGAAATAAAAACATCTCAGGGTGACTGTTACGTCTGTGGTGGACATGATGTATTAAAGGGGTGAGTGGGTTAAATGTGTGATTATATAAGAGCTTAAATAGCAAAAATAGTCCCTTTTGTAATCTACGGAACCATGAAGGATCAAGGCCCGTAAGACGAAAACATTCTTGGTAAGACAAATGTCGGTGTTCCGGGGTTAAAACTCTCTTGGTAAAAAAGTGTTGAACAGATTGTATTTTCTTCCGCTCAGTCGCACGCATGAGGCTAAATGAAAACAAACCGTATTCCAGACCAGGTCTAACGTACATGTTGCAAAGGCGCATTCTAATGACCCTTGTTTTGAAGTTTCGGAGGATAAACTCGGTCGTTCTACGTGCTTTGGAGACTATCAAGGCACAGTGCTCCGAGAGATTGAGACTCTTGGAGTGTGATACGCCCAGATCCTTAATAACCCCAGGCGCATTTATGTCGTGACCTACAATACTTAGTTGAGGTTGGCGGTCGTCGCCAACCACCATGACTGAGCACTTATGCCAAGCAAGAGAAAGGCGCCATGTGTGGCACCATTGGGCGAAAGCCTGTAGATAGCTCTTTAGGAGCTCAAGCACGCTGTCATGATCTGCCGGTTTATATCGATATGCAACTTTAAGATCATCGGCATACATGAAAGGCTTACCATTCTGAA